CGCCGCTCCCTCACCCGGGGGTGTGGGTGTGGGTGTGTGCGCGCGCGCGCTCTGCACCCCACCCCCACCCCCAGTCTTTTAAACTGAACCTATAAAGGCTGTCCGTGCGGGTGACTGAGAACCATACGGAGACGGGAATGATGTAAACAATCCCCACGATATCCCTGAGGAAGGAGCAGCAGAATCACTCCTGTAATTGCTTTCTTGGCCGGTGTGTCCTGCGCAGGCAAGGCTGAGCGGTCACAGACCTACGCTTGGCAGCTCGTCCCTCGCCCACCGCTGCGCCGTCTGCGCCACGGACACGCAGGCCACACCGCTCCCTGCGCGTTAATCGCTGGCCTTCCCCTGCGATAAGAAGATTTGGTGCGGAGAAATGTACTGGTGACAGGAGACGGGCGGGCAGAGACGGAGGCCCAAATTGCGGCGGAGGGTGACCAGGACGGGTGCGTCAAGGGGCGCGTGCATCCACCCCAGCCCTTCGTTGCCTCCAGAGCCGCAGGCAAAACATTCCTCGTTTCCACTCAACCTCTGAAATTTGATTTGACACATACCCCAGAAAACTGGCCCTCTGGCTCACGTGCGGAGGCGGTTAGATACCACTTCAGTAAGCAATCTTCCCTCAAACCCTGCTCGGTAGATGTCTGCACAGGAGCAGTGTCTGGCAGCCCCTGTCACGGTTTGTAATTCTGCCGCTGCTGGCACCGTACCCTAATAAAAACCCAGATTGTTCTCCAAAGAGCATTAGGAAAATACAGAAATATTTAAGTTTGTTAACGACGTTAGAAGTATTTTACTGGCTTTTGTGGGAAATCATTTGGCGTGTGTTCTGCAAATAACACACCGTGCATTGTTCACAGATATGTCAGAGCCTAATCAGATCTGTGTCTGTGTGGTAGATGCGCTTAGCCATCAGTCTTAAGTTCCCTCACTAATTATGAGTTGGTATGTTACTCAAGATCAGGTGATCTATGTAAGCCACAGTTCCTGATCTTATTTACAGCATGAATAATAATACGAACACATGCTTCAAAATATTAATTTGGCTATGTTTGCTTTCCCTGAGCACTTAGCTGAGCAACGGTAGTGATGATGGCAGGCACCATGGATTTTTAGAGACTACTGGAAGTGAATCCTGAATTTGCAGATCACAGGTGTGTGTTAGAAACCTGCTTTTTAAAAATGAAGTTACCTATGTCAGATTCAGGCCCCTCTTGCCTCTTTCATTCATACCAAGAAAAAGCCCGATTTATTTTTAGTTTTCCTGTGTAAGATCAGATGCTGGGTAAATTCTTCTGAATTCCTCTGCCTTACTTCACAGTTCAAGTGCTACGTGCTGTAGCAATGAAGCTTTTTTAAAAACAGGACTTCAAGAGGAAGAAGTGTAGTGGGAACTGAAACAAACATTATCAAAGCAACAGAATAGCCGGCTTTCACTTCAGGAACGTATGTCCGTGTTACACATTGGTAGAAATATGCTGAAAACACACCTGAGACTACATCTACGTTTTCTCTTGGTCCCGTTGGTCACTGGGACCCAGTCGTCCACACTGCTGAACTGCTACAGCAATCCCTGGCACAGGCTGTGGGTTGGCCTTGGGGCCAGGGAAAGGACCGTGCCACTTTGGTTGAGTCATATAGATGTGGCGTTAGCATCCTAAACAACTCTTGTTCTTTTGGAAGAAGGTGTAAACATTAATCTACAGCTGATTTCATTTAACATTTCCCACCCCACCCCCACCCCTGCTGAATTTTGGATGACTTCAAAGTCCATCCAAAGATAACATTTACTTCTTAACGACAGAGGAAAATAGGCTTTGTTCTTCCCTCATTCTTCCTTTTCCTACTGTTACACCCTTGGCTCCGTGCAGCAGGCAGAGCTGTGCCAGCTAATACCCTCAGCAAAAGGTTCTAATTCAGACCGCTCTAGAATGGCCGGCACGCCTGGGGTTTCACTGCCACAGCACCCACAGAGCATCGTCTCCTCTATCCGCCTTACAGTTCAGCACACAGAGCATCATCTGCTTCCTGCACAGGGATCCTGCAGGGAAGAAATAACTAGACATCAGGGAACT